TGAGTACGAGTAACAGCGTCAGAAGTTGTAGATTCATCTTACGTCGCTCACCGCGTTACTAGCCACCTCTGAAGAAAGTTGAAGTTGCGCTTGTTGATCCTACTCAATCTACGACTCGATAACCTACCGTTGATAAATGAGACTTTGTTCTACCCTACAGGTATATATAGGTATATAGAGGTAGTAGATAGAAAATTGCCCAGAAGTATTGTGGATGTGGAAGGTAATGAATGATATGCCCTTGTTTGACTGATATGCAAATTCGACCTCTATTCCATCTCTACACGACGTAGAATAATGACAATTGCTCACATTGGTAAATGGTAAACGAAAGTGTGGGTACATCTGATAGCTGGTGGCGAGTGAATATTGTGTGATATTTGGGTGGGAGTTGGTGATGCTGCTTCAGGCTTCAGGAATATATTTGTAAGAGATATTGGAATGGAAATGAATTCCTCATTACGCATCGTCCGTCACTCATTGCAAGTGGAAGTATCCGTTTTTTGCTTTTTTTTTTTCAATATATTGTCATGCCTATTGCATCATGCGTTTCGTTATTCGACCGACAACTTCCCATTGCTCTTTCATCTTTCAGAATATCCTCCAAGATGCTTACGAAATGGAACAGTTTCAAGTCAAGATGGGATGTTTTCCAGTCTCTGTCCCATGAGTATTACCTTAATAGCGAGCTTACTCCATGGATGGTAAAAACTCTACAGGTTCTCAGGTAAAGTATTCTGGATGAATTTCAATTCAACCCAAGATTATTTCAATGCATATTTTACAAAACTTATGCGCTGTGATACTATTTCAAGATCCATCCACTGAATAGATCGCCAATGTAGTATTCATGATACCTTTTTCATCACGGTTAGTTGATCAGCAACAGTGAAGACTGGACTCCGACCTCTACTGGTAAGAAGGTAAGAAATGCGACAAAGATTGAAAAATGAAGAAGGAAAATGGTTAAACGTGAAAGGAGATGATGAATAATGCTTCATCACTTCGTGTTTTTCAGTTTCTGATATTTGTGGTGTCGCATTTGTTGTTGATGTTTGGAGCAGCGATATCCAAACTGGTAGTGATTTTGTTAGCAACCAGTATTGAGCTGAAAGCTCCAGGAAATCGTTTTAAAAAAAAGTGTTATTTTGGAGAAGGTTATCTTTTTTTGATGGAAGGTAAAATATCTATAGAATGAATGGTCCTTTGTTAGCCAAGCACTTGGTCAAGCGACTTGAAGGAAATTACTAGTTAGCAAGCGGAGTGACTAATATATGTAAAACCGTTGTTAATGTCTCCTCGTCAATTTTTAGGAAAGCCGAGAAATGCAGAAACAACAGTTTCTGTGGTCTGTGCCTTACGGTTTATTCAAAATGTACCGGATGTGTTGGTAATCACTCAGTCTCTCTACAGATATTGATATACAGATATCCGAAGGAACGGGGAGGTACAGTACTGATGGTAAGTTTGATACCTTCTTCATTCCCCTCTCCTTCTTTAGTAACATTCTAGTTTTTATTTAGCTATTTATGATGGAATGTTGCCGATCAACAGGAGTATCCATTTTGTTTTTCCACATCTTCCCTTCGCTGGATCCACTGCACTGTTTGATTCTATCAGTCTTTGTGGTATTCATACCACTATATCTCAAAATCAACAAATTGATCCGTTGTTCTTTTGATCCGATATGGTAGGTTATTTTTATCTTGTTAATTCGGCAATTACTGCTACAAATATGTCATTACAAGCTGACGTTCGTGATGACAAAAACAAAATACAGGACGCTGAAGAAGAGAGTGAAATTACTGGTATGTTTATGTGGTTATTCGGTGCTATTTTGGGTAGTATTTGCTTCGTGCTACATGTGGAGTATAACTGCCGTACACTTCTTCAAGTACATCGCATTACTTCTCGGCCTAATTTTATCATCCTTTGGCTTCTGGGATTTATGGATCAATGAAGAACACTCTATATCTAGCTATCGCTATCTGTATCAAGTATGTGAGCAAAGTTTTTATTGAACTGTCAACTGGGAGTTTGGACATACCTTTCCACTCACATTTACAATTTTTCCTTTCTTCATGGATTGTGGACCAGCTTAACTATTGTTTTCCTATAGCTTTCAAAAACGAAGCATATATCTTCACCATCTGGCTTTTCAGAGATTCAAAATCTTTGCTAATTTTCTTACATCACATTTATAGAATTACCAAGGGAAATCTTGAAGCTTCATTTCCTCTTTGTATTAGGAGTGGAAAGTTTTACGGAGAGCAGTACTTCAGTTCATCTTCTTTTTCAGTAATTTGCATATGCTTTCACTCTCATCACACTTTACAGCTTAAGTATGGGACGCGAAAAATGAGTTCAATGACAAGACTGATGGTATCAGTGCTGCGCATATTGACTTCCAGTGCAATCGTTTGGATTGTAAGGCTCCAATATTTACCATTTAAAGCAATGAAAAAGTCGTTGATTGAAAATATGTCTTCCATCTCAGAAAGTACCACTGCTTTGTAGGCACCTTTTTATATCCTATGGTAAATTTAATTAGCTGGAGTTAAATTTTGGTTTTAATTTTATTAATTATCAGATTTTTTATCAGAACCGGTCACTTTCTTTTCACCTGAATTGAACTTATTCTCCAGATATACTTTCGCTTTGTGGGTCATCTTTCTGAATTTTGTCTTACGATTTATATCGTGTCTGTTGTCAGCAATGTCAATGAGGATCCTAGCAGTGCAATGATCTTCATCGCAACGTGTTTCATCACTCCTGCATGTTCCATTCGAGGATATTGACTTGGAGGACGTCGGGAAAGTCACTGGAGGAGATATATTTTGGCGTTGTTTGGTTAATAGCTTATTCATGTTGGCTGTTAGGACACCTAGTTTTAATGCTGGCGACGATGTGTAAGTTACTTTAAATTGCCAAGAATATAAGATGGAAGAGAGGAAAATAGTTGTTGTTTTGGTAGTTGAATTCCAATGATGATAAAGTATTCAAGATTTGATACAATCACAACTGTATTGAACGGATTAACGATTGAGCAATCGCTAGTAATATATCGAGTCTCATTCAATAAAAAGGTAAACCAACCAGTATATATATGAGCTTTTTTGGTCTAGTAGTATATGTATAAAATTTTTTGCAGTTTTTTATCAGCTAGATACTTAAATTCTCCATGTTTATTTAGAAAATGCATGGTGACCGTCGATCGTCGGAGAGAGTAAACGCTGATGGCAGCGGCCTTCGAATAATCAATGATGAAATTGATAAAACTGTGAAGCTATACATTTGTTCGAGGATATGGGACGAGACAAGAATCGAAATGATGCAAATACTGAAATCTATTATAAAGTATTTTCTTGGTCGAAATAAACTAATTTAAAATAAAAATCACAGCTTAATATTTCAGGCTTGGCAAAGAACATTCCTTTATGCTGATAGAAAGAAGACGTTCGTATGATATCAAATATAAATTGGAAGGTTACTGTTATCATCAACTTGATGTGTGTACTGATGGTGTGTGTTCATTATCGAATGCAGCTAGTTTGTGTAGTGGAGTGAAATGGGCTAATCAAGTGGAAAAGAAAGCAAGTTGCAGCACATATATTTTTCGATGATGCTTGGGAAGATCAGATGGAATGTGGTCGCATTCCGAATGGCTTTTTTCAAACTTTTTTTCATCTCTTGTTGGAGTTGACAGAGTAAGCTTTTTATTTCCAGAAATTATTACCAAGCATAGCGCTACACTTATAAGAGCACTGTATCGGTTCGTGTTTCAGAAATGAAAGCATCGAAGAAAGAAATGAAAAAATGAATGACCGTGTACTCGTTAATACTGTTTATGGTGGAAGGTTGGTAGTGCGTCTGCCAGCAGGCTCATTACTCTTTGTCCATCTGAAGGATAAGCAACTTGTTCGTCATAAGAAACGTTGGTATGAAATCAGTGAAAGAGAGATAAATGATAGAAGCTTGTAGGTGATGTATCTGTATTAATTACTCGGTTACTGAATTATGGATTGTCACATGAGCGTGGAGGATCGTCAACTTGAGGCGGACAACACATACATTTTGGCTATTGACGGTGATTCCAAGTTTGAACCATCAGCAGTGATGAAGTTACTTAGACTGATGAATGTGAAAAATGAGATCGGTTGTGCCTGTGGACGGATTCATCCTATTGGCAAAGGTCATTTCTCTTTTTTGCCCCCTCATTCAGTGTTTGCTTATAATGCTTTAGTTTAGAATTTCGCAGAAAAAAGCAAAGCTGCTAGGAGTAAACAGTAATATAAGTGAGTAAATCATTTTATTCAGACATAATGATATGGTATCAAAAATTTGAATATGCTATTTCCCACTGGTTCCAGAAAGCCACAGAACACGTCTTTGGTTGCGTATTGTGTGCTCTTGGTTGCTTTTCACTTTTTCGTGCATCTGCTTTGATGGACGACAACATCATGCACAAGTACACTAAGACTGCCTCTGAGCCAGTACGATCAGGCAAGCATGCTTTCTATGCAATTCAGTCTTTTTGCACAGTTTCTCTTGAAGCATCACTGTGAGCACTACATGCTATTAAGGGTCAGGATCGATGGCTGTCAACGCTGCTCCTAAAGCAAGGCTATGGAATTGAGTATGCCACCATTGCAGATGCGGAAATGTACGCACCTGAAGGTTTCCATGAATTCTTCAACCAACGACGTCGATGGACTCTTTCTTCCATAGCAAATACAGTCGATTTACTTGACGATTATAAAGTGAGCAGGTGAAATGCTCCTTGCTCAACTCAACTACACTATTGTCTCTTTTCTCGCGCCTGTCAAAGCATATCCAAAATGTATATCTTATATCAGTCAATGGTGATTGGATTCACTCTCTTCTCTCCTAGCATCGTATTTACCATGCTTGTCTATGCTCAGGTTATTCTTTCTGCTTTACGCAGTTCTTTGTTGAATTAAGAAGTGACAATTCTTCTCATTTAGATTGGTCCCTACATCATATATGCTCAATGGGATAATGACCAATTCAATCATTACCTAATGAAAATTTCTGCAGCAAATGATACGCTTGTCTTATTAACAGCTTACAGCTTAATAAAGAGGAAAAAAGTGTAGATTGCTTTAAGAGAAATCAAAAGATAGACGTAGAAGTATTAAGTTGAATTTAGGTAACCACGTTTGAAGTTGAATCGACAGAATCTTGCTGCACAACTTTTTACCGGTGTTCACTTTTATTGTGCTCTGTTTTCTTGCTCATTCGAATTACCGGATAACTTTTGCCAAATTTATTTCTGTGATGTATGGCTTTGTGATGCTTTCTGTTGCTTTCAGTGGCTGCAACCAATCAGATAATCCTCGAAAGTAAATTTCATTTTGAATTATCAAACGATCAAAAATATCATGCATATATATATACATTGCTTAGTGCAGTCATATTATTTACTAGGAATATGCACTAAAAGTTCATTTCATTTTTAGCTGCTCTCTCTCCAACTCCAATCTTCGTGCTCTGTATGATAGGCATATTCGTGCTGGCTGCAGTTCTACATCCGCAGGAATTCCACAACATCTTCTACGGTGAACACTAGTTATGACGGTGTTTTGGTTAACTTCTCGTTCATCCTGCATGCTAATCGAGAGATGTTTTTGTAGGACTGGCATTCTTCCTGATGATACCATGCACACACATCTTCATGGCACTTTATGCACTTATTAATTTGAACGTTATTAACTGGGGCACACGAGAAGCTGCTTCAGCTGCCGTCGGTAAAGTAAGCACCTTTGTTATTATCAATTATATTATCCACATTATCATACTTAGAAAGTATTTCATTTCGACATTATTATCCACATTATCATACTTAGTATTCCAATTAGAAAGTATTCCATTTCAGCACGCGAGTTATGCCAAATTCCGTGATTTACTGCGACGATTAGGTTTTTTCAAAGTTTTTGATTTTGTGCGATCAACACCATCGTGGAGGTCTACTACTACTACTACTACTACTACGACTACTACTATTACTACTGCTACTGCCACTACTACTGCTACTACAACTATTATTACTACTACTACTACTGCCACCATCACTGCTGTTGAAGTACAAGAAATTAAAAGAAAAGTTACTACTATAGGAAGAGAAATTCAGGGATTGAAGGTTGGTGAAGTAATAATAATAGTGACATCATATGCGTTAGTTTTATTTTTTCAGAAGCAAATCATCATTACTATAGGTTAAATTGCAGGAGCAAAATGCAAACTTCTCTTCCGTTCGTCTCAATACAACGACAAAAGGCACGAGCCCCCTCCCTATTCTTTCAGTATCACGAGCTCTATCGGATGACCAAAAGAAACAAGGCAAGGTAAAAACGATTTCATCTTGTTGCTATTTCTTATTATCTGGAAAGTGTATGTCAATTTCGTAATAACTCATGCAGAACTTTCTGTTTACTTCATCATTTTCAACGCTGCTAAAACGTTGGTCTCGAGGAAAAAAGTGAACCGTTTTCTATGGACGGATACCGAATATCTCCAAATTTGTAGTCGTGGAAGGTTAAGCGCAGCAGAAGATGAATTCTGGAATGGGGTGATTGAACAATATCTTAAAGTAAAGTTACTTAAAGTATATGGGTAATACAGGTAATCCCGAAATAAGTTTATTTTTGTAGCTAACTTCATACATTGGAAATTTGGCATGAAATCTTTCTTGCAGATTTTTGTATGCTTCTGCTTCTCGATGAAACCTTAAGAACAGGGCTATCGAATGGTAAAAAGTACGATGAGTGGCCTCTCTTCGCATTTCTCTTTGTTATCCGTGATCCACTGGGTCACTAAGGAGTTTTAGAGTTTTGGATGCATGAATTTGTTCTTTCGGTATTTCTCCGCATTCATCACCTCACCATTTCCATTCTGTCAGCAAATCGCTTCCATATTCATTAAATACAAAGTTCTTATCTAGAGAGATAATATTGAGCAGCTGTACCGTCTAGTCTGGACTCCAATTTATTTGACGGATGATTTTACAGCCATTGGAAATCACAGAGAAGGAGACAAGACGAGGTTGCTAATTTAGCCAGTTGAAGAAATCGGATTGCATCTTTACTTTTGATCGTCAATGGTTTATTGGTTTTAGCAGTATTTCTTATGCAAAAGCACAAAGAAATACTTTCGTTCCAATATAAACCGTACGGTAAGTGCTTGCTTTTTTCGATTCTGTTATAGCATCACGTCCCGTGTCGTCTATCTATTAGATATCATACTTTCCATTGTACATAGTGCTCTTTCACGTAATCCGACATCGATGTCTGGCGTTTGTTCTCAAATGAAAAATTTCGTTGTTAGTACTTCTCGGAAAGATATTTATTATTGAATTGAATTAAATTAAATTAATTGAAATGTTAACAGAAGGTTTTGAGTGGTCAAAGTTAAGCAAGAAGAGAGGAAAATTTGAACTTACTGATGAGCCGTTGAAAGTTGAACCAATTGGACTGTTTATCATCGCATTCTTACTAATAATTCTGATAGTCCAGACATGCGGTATGTTTGCTGACAGGATCAACACTTTGGTTGGCACTTTCCATGAGGTAACATTCCGACACTAACTTTAAGCATTTAGACTTCTCTGTCGAACATTGCCTATTTGTTTGATAATGAAGTTGTCTTCTCTTTGAATGTTTACAAATTAACTTAACCACAAGATCGTATCTAAGCACTTCTCTCTTCAGGTTGCAAACATGGAAGATTTTGACTTCAGCAATAGAAACATTGAGAATGAGAATGGAATCAAGGAAAATGGTCTCTTTATAGATTATTGCCTTTAATCCCTCATGAGTTTAAATTACACCATTGATGAGCACTACAGTCATTTACAGCTGAAACAAAATGATTAAAAATTTGGCACCCATTTTGGTAGTTAAGAGCTGGAAGATGTGATTCTCTTCAGGTCACTGTATTTGTTGTGAATGGCTCTTTGACTTGTTTTTATATTCAGCAGATGTTTGATACGACGCTTTATAACAACGCACACGGAGCTGATGGATATGTCAGCAGTCATTGTGATACACATGCAGGATGCAATGTTCTTTACAAGCTCCAACAACCTAGACTGATACATCGGTCAGCAGTGTCACAGGTTTCGAGACTTTAGTTGTAGTTTGCTGTATTTCTCTTCATCACTTATCTGTTCTTTGACTTACTTCAGTGGACAGTTTCCGCGTCATTTGCCAAGCTTGGGGATAGAGGACATGAGTGTACCCAAATTAGAGACCTACGAGAAGTGGGATGAATGTTCATGCTTCAGTATAATGTCCGTATTATGTTATTTTCTTGATTTCCATTAATAATAATATCGGTTGCAGCTGTTGTGTTGTATTGTTTGAAATGAATATTACATTTATTCTACGGACATGTCTTAATACAGAGTGGAAATAATAACAGCTGAATGGGATTATTAGCTAAGGAAATCATATAACAGCTCTGCGCTGCAGAAGAATTAACTGTATCTTTCGGAAAGATAAGTAATATGAATTCGGAAAAGCGGATATGCTAGTAGTATGCGGAAAGGCGGAGGCGATGACCTCGTGCAGCTGTAATCTAAAATCTGGATAAAATATAAGAATAGTATGATGTTGGTTACTAACTGCATTGATGTTAGGCTCGTAGAAGATGGTTTTGCAAGGCTATTGTAATGTCTTCATCACTAGCTGCTGATTCACCCACGTACCAGCGGCTGATAAGCTTTGCAATGTTTCTGTAATTGCCGCTGCTTAATGATGCCATCGTAACCAAAAGGTAACGATTCAAACATTGCCAGTCCTGAAATAAGGCACCACTATCATATCAGTTCCATATTTCATCTTTACTTATCGAAGTTTGGATTTGGTTCCAAAAATACTGGCATGTGCAACATACTGCATGCTCGGTGTTTCGCCGAAGATTGCCAAGTAATTCTTCTTTTGGAATGATTGGTTTAATGAATGAATTCATCAATTGATCCAACGTTCGCAACAATAAAAGCATGTTGCCTCGGAAATTAGTGCGTATAAATTTCGTGCAGTTAATCATTTTGAATGCACCATCTTTGATTATTCTTGTATCTTTATCACCCAAATCCAAAATTTCACCACAGTTCTCCAATACTCCGCATATACAAATGTCAATCTCTTGCGACTTCACTTTCCTGAATATTTTAAACTGTATGTAGTCGAATTCTGAATCTGGCTTAGTTGTCCTGAACCTGATCTAAATTTCTAATTGCGAAATTCTTTGTGTATGGAACATTTTTACACCTATTTCGCTAACGTTTTGCATTGATTTTTCCCCGGCAACAACACATCAAATTAATAAATTAGATCGGTTAATTGAGATTATCGCGCGATGCGCATTAATACAATACTAAGATTAAAGACAATAAAAAAGATATTGACGCAAGTGAATAATTACTAAATTTCGAATACTGAAAATAAAAATAATCACGATGGCATTGGTAACCGTGCCGGCCACTTCTCCAGAAATTCTCGATCAATTTTTGACGTGCATTTTAGAATATTTGCAATCCATCGCTTAGTTTTACCATCTAGCTCGCCATGAACAATGAGTAGCAGTTCTTTCATCGCTGCATGCAACACCTTTCATTCACGATAAGTTACTTATTGTACGAAGAAAGTTACAGTTATTCTTTTGAGAAAAAGATCCCACTTCATTTTGTAAAATGAATGTTGAGGAATATCATGAGGTTATAGATCATTGCAACTCTCTATTATTTATCATTATTATTATCATTATTTTGTTATTATTATTATAAATTACTATTATTATCATTATTAATTACCATTAATTATCAGTTATTAGTATTACTACTATTTTCATTTATTGTTAATTATTGCTATTATTATTACTAATTATTGATTATAACTTATTTGAAAGTTTTAATCAGCAATCAGAAAATTAATAATTTATACTTTAGGAATATGATGATACTTCCGGGCTTGATTGCTGGAGAGAATTTTCACTTGCATATGTATGTAATCACTTAAGTGCACCATTCTCGTCTGTGGTAAAGCCGCACCATATTTCTCCAGAAACATCCCAAAGTCCTTCACCAGTCTTATCTGCTTTTTGCTCTGCACCGAATGTGGCCTATAGTACAAATGGATTAGAAAATATTTCATTTCAGATATGTTGGTTCAAATTTAAACTTAATTTGAAGGATTTTTAATTATTAATTCTATCTGATCATTCAGTGAAGTTTTCTGAGTTCGACCGAAAGGAAGGAGTACCTTGCAGTTCTGACACGATCTATGGCTTCTGCATATGTGGATTGTTCTGCCCAGATCATATAGGCAGCAATAACAACACCCGTACGGCCAAGCCCTGCGTGGCAGTGTATTGCCACTTTTCCTAAATAGATTAAAAAATTGAGAACATTTAATAGAAAATTAAATACTCAAATATTAATGGCTTCAATTAATTCAACTCCTCCCAAATATCATATCAACATACCTTGTCTGAGAGAACAATGAACAACTTTCACAATATCTAAAAGGATGTCGGTTCCAAGGATTCCGAAGTCCGGCCAAACGAAATTGTAAAACTGTACTGAAACGATAGGAAATACTTTTTTTATTTGCTGAGGAAATGTTGTAAAATTTCTTTAACATACTATGTCTTACTTCCGTTCTGCATTAGTATTTCCGGATTATATGTGAAACCAGAAGGAAGTAACTCCGGTCCACAGGAATCATGTTCACCAAGCATTTGAAGATTGATTACCGCACATATGTTTGCTCTGCAACGCAATAAAGAACACTCTTGAGGTGAAGTCGCGACAGATGAAATAAAAAGAGGAAATTCCAGTTCCTCAAAAAGGAATTCCAGTTTTTTCATAATCGATTGAAAAAAACCGGCTTTAGAAAGGTAGAAACGAACTTGTGGAACTGCCCAATGAGGTTATAATCAGTAAATGTTTTAGCAGTTGGTCGAGACATAGCCAAAATGTTTCCAGTTATCCTGTAATAGTGCCAGTAGCATTTACTGTTAAGAATTACAGAATATAATTTTTAATTGAAGTATAATTTTTTAACAAAATATAATTTTTAAATTTTTAATTAGAATTGATAAAGTATTCAACCATGAGGAATATAACCCTCGGATGGCCTGCTCTTTCAGAGACCACGGTTTCCATGAGCAGTATTTGCAGTTTGCACCATTGCAGTATAATTTACAACGCCATGACCAAGGCGTTACACATATTATTCCATAACGGATCGACAAATATGGTAGCGATACTGTAAAATTCAAAGTTTAGAAGAGGAACATTCAAAAAGAACTACTTTTTGGAGATTGTTAACTACTTTATCGGTTCAGTGAGGTTTAATTTGGATTCAGATTCTTTTCCGAGCTAGAAACTTCGACTGTTCTAAAGTTATAAATGAGAATACCAACTGACCTGCATCATATCATCATTATCTGACTTAACTTCCATCTAGGAATGTCCATGCACTCACTGTAACTACTGAAAAGTGCGTGTTTTCTACGATACGCCAAACGGTGAGTTGTGGATTTTGTACTCCCACCAACAGGTAATGTAGTGGACAGTTACCAGAGAAGCCAATAAGGGGTTGATAATGAAATCAATACTCGAATGCGGTGTTCTTCTGGTAAATTTGCTTCTCATGGACAAATACGCATAATATAATAAAAGATACCGCGTCCGTAAGAAGCTGGCACGTTTCTCCGTCCTTTCATTTTATTGAATCATTTGAAAAACAGACTTCCTAATTATAAATTCAAATATTCGCAACCAATTGGTGGAAATCACTTCAAACAAGAAATTGGTCTTCGCGTGCCTGAAGAATCGAAATATTGTTCGCTAACACTCACAAACCAGAAACCGAGCTGAGCTTATTTGCGATGTTTGATGGAACAAGATTTACACAGATGAATACATATATACCAGTTAATGCTGTCACACACAAATGAACAATTTGAAAAAGCTTCAAATCTGAGAGCAAGGAGATAGGTGCCAGACAGCGGAATCAAAGAGCTGTTGTCATGGGAACATGTTCAGTAGCCAGGTAAACTGATTGCACTGCTGGTTACTTATCGGCATCGGATTGATTCGGGATAATATTATATTGCATGGAACTCTGATCGGATCGGAGCTTTCACTTGAACTGCACCGAATGCGCCTACAGTTTGCAGAACTCTTCAACTCATTCATCACATTATTTCACATCATTTCCCGCATGTAAATAAACTCTGTCTAAGGTAACTGTGTAGAAGAGAATAAATGCATGACAGGCTACCACCACTTCACCCCGATTGCAGCTTCAAAAGTATCATATATGAATACTTCTACTGTTGTCCAGCTACTCATTACACCGTTATGGCTGGACAGCTCTGTTGAGGTCAACGAACATTCAGTGAACCTTTCAACATTTCAAATCATCTTTTCTGTTCTCTAGCAAACATATAGTTTACCGGACGAAACTTTTATACATTATCATCGCTTACATAATCTTCTGATTATAATGTTGTCTTGAAATTATGTGGAAAGAATCAGTTAAAAATAGTAGGTCCTAATATATACCGATTTTGAAAAGAGGATGCCGGAACTGCTGTCCTCATCTGGGGAAGATGTGGGACATAAGTCAGCATTTTTCTCCACACAAGTAACAGCAGTGATGCGGAAAAAATTTTCCGGTTCTTCACACTTCCAATTCCAACGCTTTCTTAAACTCTATTTCCAAACTTTTCAGGAACCACAGTAAATTACTTTCGTGCAGTTTCCCGCTCGAGATAAATGCGCTAAGCAAAAGATAATGAACATGCATGATTTGCATGATACTGCAAAAACGGAGATACACAGATCATTCAAGAGCATGAATGATCTGTCACTGATCAAAAAGAATAAAATTGATCTCAAATGATAAATCATGTATTGCAGTTGTCGGAAATTCGAAATCTATGCTATATAGAAACCGCTTGTGTTAAAATATTCCCAATCAAATTGTACGATATGCTTGTTTGTTCTCTTGATGTACGATTCTAAAGAGTGCCGGAAATCTTTTTTATCACTTTTTTTTGTTTCTTCTACCAGATGACTAGGCGATTCTTGGTGTACAAAATGACCAATTATCTATTTACTACAAACAATGTGCGCCGATCACCGCCCGTGTTACAAAACTGTCTCATCATCTACACTCCTCTGAACCATTACTTCAACGAGCAGTCCTCCCCAGTAGGATGGTTCAGTGAAATTACTGGCAACCAGCCACGTCTCACGTTAACACTCGCCAGTAAAGCATAGAATATTGTAGGAGTGGATATTTTCTGTTAAGTTCAGCTATTGGTCAATATTTATTCGGAGATACTCTCGCGTATATATTGAAGTGAATATTCGAGATATTGTTAAAACGAAGAAAGAAAAACTATTGAAGCACTGTTTGTGTTGTTTGCTGAAGTAATGTACTGTATGTACCATCCAGTTTTCGTAGATAACCCGGAAACCGGGGGAAGCACTGACCAGTCTTACACATGCACTCTTTTGTTTCTTATTTTGTTCCATTTTTTGGCACACTGGATAAGTACTTTGTTTGATCTGGAAATTTCTTCAGGAAGCTTTATACGAAAATTGCAGTACGATTCGTTTGTAGTATGGACGAGTGGCGGACAGTGGTATTTTGATCGTTATTCTTCCTTTCAATTTTTATCTGAATTTGAGAAAGGATTTTCAACAAAAATCTCTACTCTCACCAACCATTTCATCGCATCGAAACGCTCCAAACTTAACAGTGCTCTGTCAGCACTGAAACAAAGCAATGAATGAGGCGGGCGGTAAGTAATATATTATTCACTATTTCCCGTTTATAACTTCTTTCGTCGAGAATTCAATGACCTTACCGCCCGTGTGTCACTTTCCACTCAGTTTCTTCAAGTCCAAAATTACATCTTCCCACGGCTGAAATCACTAAAAGCATAAACCCCAATTAACATCATTTTCCAATAAATCCGCGACTAACACGACTGATTGACTCATTTCACTCTTTCTGTGACTACGCAACCAATCAGACGATTTTTGTTTTAAGGAAAAAAAGAGCAGCAGAGAGAGAGAGAGAGAATTACTTACCTAGTCAGTCTCGTATGCACGATGAAATCGATTGTTCCGCAGAATCCGTCCCATTCAACGCTGATCAAGTCACGCGTCACTCTCGACACTGTCAACTACCGCCTTCCTTCCTTGTCTCCTCCTATTTCAGTTTGTCTTTCCTTGTTGTCCTTCTTTCCTCCGCTCTTTCTCTTCCACTTCTTCAATCTATTCAATTGTACGCTCTCGATCATTTGTTTCATTACTATGCCTCACTCACCGGTGGTGAGTGTTATTTCTTTGTTGTTCATTTTATTTGGACCAGCTAAATTTTAGTTCTGGAATTCTCTGTACTGAAAATTGCCACTCCATCTTTGTCTAATTATTGTGGCAAATTTTGTGTTTTACAAATAGGCTGTTATGATGCAGTAAGCAGTGGTAGAAGTTAGTTACCATGCCTTTGGTTGTCAACGCAGTGACGGGTTTTTCTATATAATTTGGAGTTCCAGGAGGTGCTTGACAAGATTCATCCAGAATAAATGTGTTGTAAGCATACCAATCATCAGCTGTTCGTTCTTTTGTCCAACCGTAACTTATTTCAGCTTGCTTGCTGACGGAAGTGCTTCTGCATTTTTGCCTACCTTCGTTATTGAATCGGAAATGTTGCAACTGAGTCAGGAGAACTATTTTCCATCTGTTTTCATTAATTGCCTTGTTGAGCAACTCACCAGCACTCACCATTCGGATCATCACAGTGCTAACGATTGTCAACAAACAGTATGGAGGAATTCCGTAATTCTTTCCGGAGAATAAATTTTACCGTGATCGATGACAGTTTTCAATTCCGAACAGCTTCCCTTTCATTTGCAACTTCCGCCGGAGTACATATGTCCTTACACAGTTCAAGTAATGGACGCGTCGTTTTTTCGAACATCCTGCGTATCCGGATTTCCTATACTGTTTTCCTCTATCTCTGTAGTCCTGTCACATGCACACTTGTGGCAAAGTCCATTTTAGGAACAGCTCAACGTCGTAAGTGAGCATAAGCTAAGGGAGTGGTGAGGGGGAGTGGGTCAGCGCATACAAGCTCACAGTGACGGTTAGGTGAGCACCCCCTGATCTAGTCGGTGTGTGCTGATCCGTTACTTGTGATAGGTGGTGTTTACTGTGTGCGCACCGTCACTCGTACACAGTAACCCACCCAAATATCTAATCTAGTACCTCAACCGTTCTGGCGACCTGATTAATTTTTGGATAGCCGCTGGATAAGCGGCGCAAGGGACAGAGGCCCAGGGGAGGGTTAATACAGCTTCTCCTCACTCATTAGCAGCAACTTGTCTGCTTTTCTTAAAGGTAGACTATCCTTGTACAAGTAGATGGATGGATACATATGTTATTGTGTTGTACCGCAGTGGTGACACACTATCCAGGTGTTGTCAAAAGAGTGGAATAAGCGTTATAATAGGAACCTTTCTCTCCTTGTTAATTACTCTTAACTGTGTATTTGTCAAATATTGGGTTTGGAGTAGACTTTGGGACCGGAACTTCAGGATGAGATGCATCGTACTGTCACAGGATTTCTTCCAGTCGAACGAAAATTTACACAAGACTGCTCTGACAAGATAGAATGCATTTGTTTTATCCAAGATGTTGGACTTGAAATTGATTTGAAATCCACTTTCATTAAATTTGATAGCTTTAGAGATGTTGAAACTTTGAGTGCTACTGACAGCTTCTGTATTCGTGGCAAATAATCCTGCATTTTGACCAGATCCAGAACTGTAAAACTGAGGTGTTTTACAAACTGCTCCCTTATCAACACGCTATAGGCTGGCACCCGTTGCATATTCCTTCTGATTTTCTAGCTCTATCACAGTAATTTATTGCTCTCCATTTACACATTTATCCGTTTACTAAAACGCTCTAAGCGCTGACAGCTCCCTGTAGATATGGGGTGTTCAGAACGAGATTTCAGGAGTAGAATGTCTGAATTGGTGCCATAATTATTCCTTTTTTAAAGGGAAGCACGCACCCCCTCGGGCTTCTAAAAAACCTCATTTCAGTGACATCTTTCTTGTCAAGGACCTCAACGTTCTCGATATCGTACTCCTTCCTCGTCCAACTTTGTTCACATTGCACAGTAGTAGATGAAGTGTGAATATTGTTGTCATTCGAAAGTAGAAGACGTGGTTCTCAATGTTCTAATTAGTAATCGTTGATTCGATTTTATCCGTTTTGTCAGTTCGTACAATTAGATGGTTTGTTTCATCTCTGATTCAGCATTTCAAATTCCATTATAATTCATCATCATTTGTATCCGCTGTACTGATATGTAGTTTTTTTTTATGAAGGAAATCGGTGATAAAATAATGTTTTTGGAAGACACGCTTCCGTTCCGAAAACTGTTCTTTTTTCCCTTTTTCCCTTACTTCAGAAGTGTCGTCCGCATACTTATGAGACAGTAATGAGCATCACTGAAATGATTGACTGTATTGAATAGGATGATAGGAAATGACACGGACAGATTATGATGGGTTTGTTGATGAGGAGTTAGTTGTCAAATGATTGACAGTAAACACGTGCAAGTTTGTAGGAAAGCAATTTGACAAATTAATGATAACGAACTTGTTTGATCACCGTTTTAACCATGTAAGTTGGGCTTTGATATTCGGTAGTTTAACATCTTGAAATGTCTGGAAATTTCATAAATATTACATATCTGCGATCATATGTTTTTCGTAAGATACTTCGTTTTCATTCGATTCAAATCCGGCCTTTATCGTGGGAATTTGATTGCTGTAGAATTCCTCTCCATACTTTTTTGCAGTTTAACCTTCTCTTTCCCTATTTCGCCGGCATCTCATTTTTTTACTGAAAGAAGAAATAAAAATTGTTACGTAAACGAAAAGAATTAATTATTTGTTGCAATGCGGTTAGTTTTCTGAATCCATCGTCAGTTGTTAGAATTGCTGTGAATGTGAAGTATGTGACGAAAAAAAGAAAACTGGCCTGATCTATGGAGTGGAGCGAGCCAGTATCAGTGTCGTCTTATTGATATCATCTTTACTACTCTGTTTTTCCTTTCCTCTTCTGAATTCATCCTCAGTATTTGTAATATGCTCCACCTGTTCTCTACTTGTTTACCAATTTTTCCTTGTCTGCTCCTCCATCCATTGTTAATCGTCTATTGAATAGTGCAGCTTTGCTATGCTGCTGCTATATGTATATTTTATATAGCTTATTAACTTATATATTAAGCTGATGAGGAAACTTATATATCGTTTAAAACGCTCGTCCAATCTCTTCAAATCGTAATTCTAACCCACCTTCTCTTCTTCTTTTCTTCATTCCTTCCATAGGGTAATTCGTGATCTTTGAACTTTATTCCTGCAAAATTTTTGTTAGAGCACTCAATTTTCATTTCAAAGCTCATAGCTCTTGTTCAATATTACTTTTTTTTCATTGTGTTGCCTCTCTGCTTCGCACACACTCCTTTCTTTCTTGCTTGGTACTACTTTAAAACAACACAAATAATTTATTGTATCCGTTTTGAAAATTTTCATGTCGTTTCACAACTTCTCTAGAATTAAATATGAAGGATAATCCGTTGGAATCGTATTTTGTTTAGCTTTAAAATACTTGGATATTTCATACAGATTCTTCATATCCTTCCTACTATTTTTAATGGGCACTTAAAACATTTTGTATCTGTTTCATAAAATTTGTTTGCAAATAATTTCGTGTTACTACAGTCTGCCAGAAGACCAGTCAGTTATGTCGCGCAACTCGGGGACGTCTATTTGTTGTACTTCGTATTGTTTCTCATTTTTAAAAGGCTCAATTTATCTATTTTGATTGATAATTAGTTAATTTAATATTAAACACTTGCTGTTACATTTACATAAATATTGAAAGGTATCGTTTGGTTCTTATGTTTGCAGGGTACGAGTCAGAGAAGCTCGACTATAAAGGACATACACTACATTACGTGGAAATTGCGTCTTTTAGGCGCGCCGCCTGTTTATCCAGCATATTTATTTTAAATTACTGCTACGGTGCCTTGTGGTTATCGCTTTCTCTTCTGTTAATATCAGTTATCGAATTATTGCTGAAAAAAAAATTATCGAATCCTTCGTTTGCTGAGAAAGTGTGCAATGCGAGAAGCATTGGAAGCATTCCAAGATGAGATGTTCTGGACGATCATCGTTGGATTCTTCATTGCTTCAATCCTTGCGTTTGCGATTGGTGCCAATGATACAGCAAATTCTTTCGGCACGAGCGTTGGAAGCAAGGTTTGTTAGACATTTCGAAAGGATTGAGTGATTTGATTAATTAAATTCCAAAAAATAAGAATGCAAGTAAGTTCGTACAAAAAGGAGAAAATAAGTATGTTCAAAAATTACACCGAAAATGCCTTGAAATAATGATAGCAATCAGTTAGGTAAATTTCAGGTACTCACACTCCAGCAAGCTTATTTACTAGCTTCCATTTTCGAAACCCTTGGAGCGACTCTTTTGGGATACCAAGTTACGGATACAATGCGAAAAGGCGTCATTGATTTGGCTGTTTACAATGGTAGCGAAAATGAGCTAATGCTTGGCCAAATTTCCGTACTGTCAGGTAAAGATATACACTTAATAAACTTTTGAGTTTGGGGATTTTGTCAGTCGGGATTTTTTGCTTCACCTAACCATAAAACTTTTGTGAAGAGATGTTCTTTCAAAGGCGCACTGCTTTTAATACACAGCTTTTAACAAACTTGTTCCACGAATATGTATTTCAAGATTTAGAATTTTCCCCTACCAAGCAAACGTGTTAGAAATTGAAATTTTATGAAATTAAGCATTGGAGGAAGTTTGCAGGATGCGGTGCATGGCTACTTATAGCGACATTTTTGAAGCTACCAGTGTCAACGACCCATAGTATTGTTGGAGCGACTCTTGGATATTCTTTGCTAGCCCGTAGTACGCAGGGAATACGCTGGTGGCCAGTCATCCGCATATGTGAGTTATGCCACATCTGTGCCAAAGTAATTTTCAATCATTGGCTTTTTTTCTTCATTATCCACTCACAGTTTGGTAACGTCTTCAGTTCAAAAAGAAACTGAATTTCAAATTTCGAAGTAGTGAATAGTGAACAAAATCGCACTGGGACCCATCCAGAAACATGGTGTGATATAAAATAAAAAGATTGTCTAGAGAGTATTGTAAATCAAACGATAATTTCCAATTTTATTTGCAAAATTGCGTTCGTAACTTGAATATAGCTAGGTTGAAAAAAATGAAATCTTTGAAATCCATATTTATCAGTTGTTGGTGAACCGTATAATATTACTGAATTATCTATTTCAGTTATATCATGGTTTCTGTCACCATTGCTTTCGGGCATCGTTTCAATCCTTTTTTATTCTTTCATCGACCATGCTGTACTGCGACGTCGACGTCCTTTGCACTGCGGCCTAATTCTTTTGCCTCCTTTGTATTTCTTCTGCGTAGCTGTCAACATCTTTGCCGTTATGTACAACGGTTCTGAATGTATGTTTTCAATAAAGCGTCAAATTACTAGCAGTTTCAAAATTTTGTTTGTCGAGCTTTCTACTATTTACTGCTTCGAAACTCTATTGCAAATTTGTAAATGCTTCTTCAGTACATTGCGCATTGCGGGGTTCCTGACGCAAACAATGTTTTATTGGAATTTTGCTGCCCAAAGAAACTTTTATAACCGCATATTTCTTAACAAATCATTTGTGATGGGTCGCTGTTTATAGATATTATACTGAATTGAAATTTAGTGATAAATTTTGCAGTTTTGGGCTTTGATAAGATGCCGACATGGATTATTCTGGTGATAACATTTAGTGTAGCAACAGTTGTTGCATTGCTTGTGCATTTCATTATGGCGCCTCAGTTGAAAAAACGCATTTTAGGTAACGCATTTTTTCACTTACAAGTATGGATTGATGCAATGGAATTAAATTAGATTTTGTTATTGTATTCGCCCATAGCACTCTGCTTCTTGAGAGCTTAAACTGTTGTATTTTAGCACACAAAAATTTACAAATAAAACATTTTTTCCGCGTATTTTTCGAATTATAAAATTAGACACTGAATAAAAAGAAAGGCCAAGAATTCTTTGCACTTTCATCAAAGAATTCTCCAGTTTTTGCCCAGCTATTTTGACCTTGAGTACTTTAAAAATTTTGATATCGACACGTTATTGACGATACAGTACTTAGTATTATTCATATTCTTCTGCTGTACTCTGTTTCATCTTCTCGACATAGTTCATTTTTGGCTTTATACTAATAGCGACTGTGAGTTACTTGTAGATAGTGCAATACCAGATTTCAGAATGCATGGATAAGTCATTTCAAAGTTGTCAATATGAATAAAATGGAAGTATTATTTATTAATATTACTGCTGATTATATGGCGAGATTTAGATTATATAACGAGTAAAATGGATGCATACAAAAATGTTTTAGAATTAAAAACACCTGCATTAAGTACAGCGACGCTTGAACGTGACGTTATTGAAGCACAGAGTAAGTTAGTGATCTGAAAGTTTCCATATAGGTGCTTTCCTAATCCTCTCTATTTGAAATTTACCAAAATGATAATTGTCCCTATTAAAACAATGTATACAAACATATATTTTTAAAACAAGATTCGGAATTTTGCATGAGATCCTTTGCATTTTGAAATAAAGAAAGTGAAGTAGATATTGGATTGCTTGTACAATAATGCCAAATGAATTACTTTAATGAAAAATCCTAATTATACAGTCGTATAAGTGCTTTCCTCCGCTGTAGTACTCATTATTTTATTCAGTTGGTCAGCTGATGTTTAGAAATTTGAAAAACAAGAGAAGAATACTAAATTGTAGCGCAATAGTGTGTGAATCTACTTCCGTTTTACTTTATAAGAATCTTTTTTACAGATATAATATTTAAACATATAATTCCCGGTTTTTTTCCTTCGAGTTTAGTTTTATTGAAAAAATGCACTTACCACTGCGAATTTTTTTCTGACCTTATATGAAATCCGTGCGTCACTTCAATTCCCAGATTTTATATGGAATTGAAGTGATGCACGGATTTCATATAAGGTTTTTTACAGTTTGAAGTAAATCATAAACGTTGCAAAACAGTGGTCGATAGTAAAACGGAAACGTGGACACTGCTTTTGTGCTTGTCGATTTATTAATCTTCTCTTTTTTTGAGATTTCATAAAGTATTTTGTTACAAAAACTGCATGAAAGCTTATTCACTCTGTTGTATTCATACACTTGATTCTCAATTCGGATTTATCACTTATTTAGGTTAATTCCGAAACATACTTCCTCAAAAGAAACGCTTAATGCCAATGAGGAAGTCGAATATGATTATTTAAACTTACTTTATGCGGTTCCTAGATTAAGCCTGAAATAAATGGACAATTTGATCTGACAACAAAAAAGGGCAGGTGGTGAAGCCGAGGAACTAAAGATAATATATATGTAAAAGAAGGAGTCAATTTTTATTTATATCAGGCTTTATTTTAAGGTAACTGTCTGATTCGCACATATTATTTCAGATGTACGTTCCCTGTCGCACTGTGAAGACGGAAAATACCTAACATTGGGACCAACTAACAGCAGAGAACAGCAACTACCTGAAATATCTGTTGGTTTGCTGAACAATAATGGTAACACTACTAGTGGGACTATGATAGAAGAAGAAAGCAGGATGGTATCCAACAATCTGCAAACAAGTAACACCGATGGACATCATGGTTTGGGTACTAATACGGTACGACCAACGAGAAGTATCGAAACCTTCTTTCGTTCCTCTAAACCGGAAGATCCGCAAGCATCTCAGTTATTCAGTTTCCTTCAGGTACTTACAGCTTGCTTCGCCGGTTTCGCGCATGGTGGCAACGATGTAAGGTATAAGTATTTCAATTAAGATTTTTATTTGTTTTCTAAAATTCGAAAAAACCCACCGTGACAATTGACACTTGTTACTATTTTTAGTAAGTTTCGAGATTTTTTGATATGCTCAACTGAAGAGAAGATGTTACATAGCTTTGTTGGTAAAGTTAGCTTCTCTTAAGAATTTTGTTTATCATTGTAACTTTTGTATGGTTAAGTCGGAGATTTAGCAATTCCATCTGTAAAAAGTCGAAGGTTTAAACTTGCAACTATTGTGGTTTTATTTAGGAAATTTAATGTTTAGCAACGCAATTGCTCCGCTGGTATCACTGTATGCTATTTACAAGGAGAATTCGGTGATGCAACGATCCGCAACACCTGTCTGGCTTCTACTTTACGGTGCTGGTGGCATGTGTGTTGGTCTTTGGATATTAGGACATCGGGTTATCTATACGGTTGGTGAGAACCTCACCAAAATTACGCCGCCAAGGTAGGATGAGGGAACTCTTTTATTAGTAACACTGAATTCCCACAGTTTTCAAATTTTTGATGAATTACAAATATTTCATTGTTTCAATTTCATCCTTTTAAAATCTCCACTTGAAAATTTCAGTGGTTTTGCGATCGAATTTGGTGCTGCTGTAACAGTATTAGCTTCAAGCAAGTTTGGTCTTCCAGTAAGCTCCACTCAGTGCAAGGTTTTGTTTATTGCCTTCTTTGTCTCAACTATTCTTTAAAACCTTCCAAATTCGTTTCGCGAATGCATAGGGTAATGTAGTGTTGTGATGCTATTTTTTGTTACTTGTTTAAGTCAGTCAAAGTCTTTAGTTATAACTTTTTAGGATGTGAAGCACGCGAACGATTTTGATAAACCCCTGTAATATAATATTCAGGTCGGCAGTGTGGTAGCAGTAGGTGTGGTGCAGGCAGGCGGCTCTGTGAAATGGTCTACTTTCCGGAACATATCATTGTCCTGGCTTGTTACTTTACCTGTAACTGGTAACAATCTTCTTTTTATTTATGTCTGTTTTCTTCCTCAGATTAATTCTATCAATAGCCATAATTTAGAATTAAATTGCACAAACAGTTAGGTTGAATTATTAAATGTACTACATCATCTGAATGTAGCACAGTTGTAGTCACTTAGGGACGGGTATTTGTTTCCCGAGATACGTACACAGTGTCAGCTGGATACAGTTTACTTCAATGCTCCGGCTAGTTAATGTCCTTTCTGAGAATAATAAAAAAGGTTTTTCTTATTAAAATTAGGATGATCCATTTCAGGTATTCTCAGTGCAGTGGTAATGCTGGTTGCGCGTTCGATCGTTCTATGATAAGCATCAGTGTATTATCATTATTTGCTCATTCATCTGTTTTTGGTTTGCGGCGATTTAGGATAGTTTTTGTTGCTGTATGCAAGTGAAAATTTTCTATAAGTTTATCTGTACTTTACTCTCACACAAAATCATTTTTCGTTCACTTGTAAAGGTATTGTAAATAAAAATTTTCTTAGGACTGTTGGCTGACAGTATTTCACCGAAAAATTGAACGAGAGTGATGATGACTTACTCGAGCATGACCGCTGGGAACCTTCCTGTTTCAGAAAATGAAGAGAAAGTGAGAAAGAAACTTCGATATCTCAACAGTTAGATGCGAAAAGTTGCAAAAGCCTCCTCCTTCTCAAAATATCTCCTCTTATATTAAAACGAGAGGACATTAGTTTGGCCCGTTGACGGGAGCGAACCGAACCTTCGAGATGAGTATAATGCGAAATGTAGAGATAGATCTACATACACAATTTCTGGTTGGGCTCAAAGGTAATGTATTAACGGATTCTCTGCAAACACGCTTATCCTATCTGTGAAGGCGCCGGAAAGACTGCATTGATGTAGGATTACGACCTTGGCAAACTGAGCTATTTGCAAGTGTGTAGTGTGCTGCAAAACAAGAATGAAAGAGGTGGGTTGCACTGGAAGAGAAACATAAGTTGACTGCCTTAAAAGTGGTGCTGTTCGTCTTTTCTGCTTTATCGGAGACACTGTTCCTGTCGTGTAGGATGAAATTGATGGAAAAAAATCGTTACAACGACTCTCTCCTCTCCAATTCTTATTTTGACTTTTTAGGTTTGTTTGATATTGTAACATGGAGTGATGAAAAAAACCTCTACTGCCTCCTTATAAATGGTTAATTAATTCTGCGTTCTTTTTCCTATCTGTAATTCGTGTGATACACTGCAGATAAATATTTTAGAAATTTGACTAAATGAAAATTATCGGTCGAGTTCCGCAAAAAAAAGTAGGAAGAAAAGATTTGCTACAGCTAATCATTCAGTAAGGAGGCAAAACTGACCGATTCATTACTGACCGTGTATACACATAATACTGCTGGCTTAATTGATGTGAACGCTATACCGGAATTTCCAATTTCTACCTGTTGTTTAAACAGAAGTAGTGGGTGTTGTGCACTCATTTCTCCTCCGTGTTTTTCTTTCTTTTCCGTCTACGATCGGAAACCATCGGAAACGACAAAGCTTGTTCTATGCACTTCCCTATCACATTACAACAACATTTCGTGTTCTCCTTCCCAACACCTCTGTTTTGTATCTCGCATACTTATCATACTTATCATCGTCAGCTTATCGTCTCTCCTCATCTTAGTTTCCATTCTTATCTCATCCCCCCTTCCTTTCTTTTATATTCCTCCAACCCCATCCCATTACACCACTCCACCTATACATCAGTTACTCATCCATTCGCATCATTTCAATTCATCTATCCTTTTTTCATATCTGGTACACAGCAGCCGAATTTTCTATCTTACCGTCCACTATCTCCAGCTGAGAAAAGAAATGAGTGGAATAAATTCATTTTTATTTTTAAAGTATCTTCGCTTCTCCCTTTAGTTCATTCCCGATCACTCTGCGGGTTATTCGGCTAGGTAAGAATGGATCCTTGTTGAATCAGTAATACTAACATTTCCACTAGAAGAATTTGTTGATACTAAAAAATGATGGAATAAGGAACCAAAAATCTAATTCTAGAAGAGTTTGTGAGTCCTTGAAGGGCTTGCTGAAAAATTGCAGGATTGAACGGTGTAACTTTTTACAGCTTTTCCGGCCCACTTCTCAACCGTACTATATGCTCCAGGTAAATTGTAAATTCAGGCAACTCTTGCCTGTGCCGAACTTCTCGCTTAACCACAAATGAGAACTATTTTCATTTTCAAATATTGTAAGTCAGCTTAGTTTGAATAGTTTTAATAGTCAATTGACCAATATTTAATGAAAAATTTTTAAATGCTACAGAGATTCACACTTGCTTAATATGGACTATCGGGCTATGCTTAATATTGGCTATATATATGTATTGATATCGAAATCTTTAAAGATTCAATATGACCACGATAATTGCTTCCTACTGTAGTAATAATAATAGGAAATTGAAACTAACCAACAAAAATTTTGCTAAATTATTTGTCGGATAAGGTTGTTTAATGTAGCAATGAAGAGATCTACTAAAAAAAATCATCGTTTGAAAAGTATTTTCGCTGAATCTAGAAAAGATTCTCGTCCTCACTTTGTGAAAGAGCTGGTGGTGACATGAAAAGGAGATGAATGCTATCCATTGTCAATGCTATCCCAACGAATTTACAGGGATACTCCAAGGCACTTGGACCGGTAGCGCGTCCCACTTTAATGATACGGTCCCGCGATTTATGAGTAACTTTTGAAGTCTTGATATCGACGAGTACTACTTCAAAGACCCCATTTGTTGTTGTTTTCCTTTCGTTCTAGATAATTCTTCCTAGTAGACGTGTTTGAAGAGTACTCTCAAGGTAAACTGGTTACACCATCAAAAACGGCAGGTAAACTGAACCATGCTGCATAGCGGTGTGACAAAGCTAGTCAATCACTGGAAACTGAATCGAAGGAGAGTACTGTAGTACGGTTTGTTTCAGCATGCTCGCATACATCTTGGCCCAGGTCTCTCTCTTGGAAAGGATGGCATACATTCACGTGACTATTTAAAAGCGCATATGGTGAGGGTGAGGATACACGCGCTTAGCTTGAGATTTCCTAGATATTATGGACTGTAGCGGGATATAACGACATCTATCTGCAATAGATGCATGAATGCAGAATAAACGCGATGTGCCTCTCCGAATAATGTTGCATTGTTTGAGAGGAAGAGAGAGAGAGAGAGAGAGAGAGAGAGGGAGAGAGAGGGAGAGAGAGCAGTTGGCTCAGATTTTAAGTTGAAGTGAAGAAGATACTGCAATGTAGTGCTACTGAGAGGGGCACTCTATTTCATTCCCTTCAAAAAACCTGTTTGCAGTCTGAAATGGAACCAATCTTCTGCAAAGACATTTACTTCTAGTACTGCTCTCCACAAATATTTTAAATGACCTCATCTCACCCACTTATCCTTCCCCTCCTTTTCCTTCAGTGGATCCTTCGATTACCTCCAAGCAGCCCGTAGCCCGTGTTCACCTCTCCGCCTAATTCTAATATCTTTATCCCCAGTTCAGCAACCCATCAACGCTCGCTTTCTGTAGTCCATCATTCCACGTTCCGTAGAATCTTCCCCTTCTCCACATTCAGTTTCCAGGCTTTCACTTTGTGTAACACGCCGAACCTCCCGATATGTGCGGAAGATAGTACGATTTTCTCGAACATGTTCCAGGCATGGGGCTTTTGATAATATCAGTCACTGATAGGGAGAAATTTTGGAAGTATTCTCTGTTCCCAACTTTTCATTTGAATACACTCGCACAGTTACTATTTTGTTAGATGCATTTGGTCTGGAAACTTGTCGCATAAAAGCGCCTGTCATTGGTCTTTCAGACCTGGATCAGCTTCCGTGTGTGTGTAAAGACTTAGGAGTAGAAAGACGGATAGTTGCATGCGGAAAGATAAGAGATGAAATAAAATTTAAATCTGCAGATCAAATGGGTATGGCAAATCAATCAATTCTACTACATCTACTACTATTCACTGCTGTATTATTGTGCCCCATCAATGCTCAGCAAGTATTTCTCCAACAACGTAAATCGATTTCTTCCTTTTTCGATTATTTATTTTCATGGCGTGAAGATCATACATAACTGGTAGAGCCAAAATGGTGTTTGCTAAAGAGCAGCTACTGTAAGCAGATAAACAGTACCAATGAGCCGCCAAAAAAAAAGTTTTATCAAATAAATTGGCTGGCTTAATCGATTGATTAGTCTTTTAGAGCTTGATCAGCTTCCGGCACCCGACTTTGGTGCCAATGATGTATTGCCGAAAATGCTTCTTACCACTTTCAAAAAAACTGCTGAAAGTTTAAACATCGACAGTGAGATACCACCCGACACATTGATTGACCCGGATGGACGTATCGTTGCTTTTTCCAGACGGCTTGGACAAAAGTAATAGTTTTCAATTTCAACAATGGAGTACAATATCGCTAATGAAACCATTGTAGAGTTTTATTAGCTAGTGACTAATTGATTTTATGTCTAATTGCATATATTATACAATTGTAGCATCTCTCTCAAAGTCTGTCCAACGTTGATTGCTGATTAGCGCCAATGTAAATTAGCAATTCCCAGAACCTGAACTCATCCTAGCAATGATTCTAGAAGGATAGCCGACACGGGAGCAAACAAAAATCTTCATTTTCAGTACTTTTGTACGATTTATTTTTTCTAGTTAATTTATAGACATGCAGAAGAATTGCAAGAAGAAAGGAAACTTCTGCAAGAAATAGCGAAAAAAGACGATAAAGAATTGACTTCATGGAAAACTTGCCTGTGGACAGCGATTGGTTGCGTTTGCATCGTTGCATGCGGCATTGTTCCCGCATTTCTTTTATCAAATGATCTTACTAATTTTCTACAATCGAACTGTAAGTTACAGGTCTGAAAGCATTTGTGTATGACATCTTTGCAAGATTTCCGCTTTACATTTTGTTGGCCCCAATGAGTATATATTTCAGATGGTCGCCGAAGCTTGCATCTGCTGCTGAGCTTCGCTGTTGGAAGTTTGATTGGTGACGTATTCCTACACTTACTTCCAACTATTTGGGCAGATACCCAAGGTAATTTCTATTTTTTGTTCACTACGGTAGTGACGCAAGTAACAATGTAATTATTGGGTTAATTTTTGTATTACAGTGGATAGATTGACAGCAGGTGTATGGACAACAGCAGGTGTTTTATTTTGCTTCATACTGGAGAAGCTTTGTTTAACAACTGAATTTAGCCAACGTAGAGTAAGTTCTTTAACTGTCTCAAGTATATCTTCAGCAGCATTTAATCTAGCGAGTATTTGTTTAAAAATTTTAACAAGTTCAATGGTGCTATGATCCAAGTGATTGGCTTATGAAGTCATAACCCCTGACCATCTTAAAAAGTATCGTTTTTTTTGTCTTCAAAAAATCTGGATTAAATCAAAATTAGGGTGGCTTATCTCTCAAATTGTTCTAGATGTGCGCCATATTAAATCTTGTCGCCAATTTTATGGACAATTTTACTCATGGGCTAGCTGTTGGCGGTTCATTTCTAATGGATACAAAAGTTGCCGTTGAATTTCTCCATTTCATAGAATTTTTTTTCCACAAGTTTTGTGAGAACACATTACACTTATTTATAAAAGAAGTTCATTTGATAGAAATGGCGAAGATATACAAAACTTGAGAGTTTGATTTAATCGTGTAGACTCGGGGAATGCTATAACATTTATTAAAAACTGTTGATTGTAGTTCTCTGTTATGATGGAATTACTCTTCTATAGAAGGAGTCAATTAATGTTTGGTTGTGCTAATTATATTTTGTGCTAAACCTGTTATGTCTTTGACTAATTGATTTGTAAAACTGAAAGTGACTGTCTGCAGCTTGGTTTGCTGACAACATTCTCAATAGTTATCCATGAGTTGCCCCACGAAATTAGCGACTTTGCCATCTTACTTCGTGCTGATTTCAACAGATGGTCTGCTGTACGAGCTCAGGTTGGTCATTCTTTTGAGCGTTTTGAAGATATGTTGGAGAAATGTGAAATTCTTTGTAAAAAAGTAACGTGTGATGAAGAGGTGAAAAAAGTCGCCTTGTTAGTGGATTCCAAAATTACGACTGCTCTTACCAATTACAGTTGTTAACCGCATTTGGTGGTGCTCTGGGAGCATGGGCAGCATTGTTTTTGCATGTCGAATGCGCTACGAATGGAGCATCCCAGAACATTCTGCCGTTTACAGCCGGTGGTTTTATTAACATTGCCCTTGTCCAAATGCTACCAGAACTAATGAAGGAAACCGATTCAAGGTATCAATCTATTACTACCCACCAATATCTTGTTTCTTTATCAGATGTCAGCTCCAGTTAGATGTGGACGTTAGCATGACATTCACTGCAGACTCCAAAAGGGACAGTTTTATTTAACGAATTCATTGAACATTCGTTAATCCCTATAGAAAGTTGTCCATTATTATTCAACCAAATAATCATTTGGCGCAATTTCAGGCAAAATATTTTGCAGTGGATATGTTTTTTGGTTGGTATTACACTGATGGGTGCACTGAATCAATTTCATCTCGACTAATATCGTTCAAGAGCCTCGCGCTTTATCAACATATGTAGTTAAGATAGTTTTGCAGTGAATGTTCTGCTTTCAGGCAGTTTCACTCGACTAGTTTCATTAAAAGCCCTTAAAAATTTGCCCAGTGATAAACAGATGATTGTTGTTCCTCCGGCTAACATGCATTAATGCATTTCATTACCTAATCGTACTGTGATCATTCAATACAAAGCAAAACAAAATAAAGTCAACTGATCGGTAGGAAGGATAAAGGTGATTAAGGATGCTTGCATGTGGATTTTTTTGGACATAGCCGTAGCGTAAAGAAGCCGAAAAACAACTGAACTGTTTATGTTCAAGTAAAGGTATACCTTGCGCACAAATGGAGATTATGTTCGCCACATATCACTTCATTCTCTATTTAATCAAATGAACAATGGATCAGCTCGAGAATTCGGAAGATGTGTCTTTCAATATAGGCGGCCGAAAACCTGGGAAAAATATCTTCGTACCCATGAAATGTGCTCCGGAATCTAAGGGCCATTTTCGGGTTGCCCATCAAGCAGGAATAAGACGAGGAACCACGAATTGCATTGTGATCCCCGTTAAGAGCAGTTCGATTATCAATTCCAGGTGTGGTTAGCATGCAGCGATGGGTGGTGGTGGGGTTGAAAGGGTGAGGTTTACCTTTTAGAGTGGTCTCGAGGGTTGTAGGGATTAGGGAAGACTGGTAAAAATCGTTTTCATTTTAATAAGAGCGAACGAGAAGATAAATTAGTGGGAGAAATAGATAGGTAAGAAAAGCAAAAAAGATGGTTGGAACATGAATGAAGAAGTATCGTGATGGATTCACATATATTCGGGTATATATTTATATTCGCATGGAACCGAACCGAAATGTAATATTGATGAATAATCCTTTTTGTTGTCTGAATAATTTTTATCGTTCTGGTTATAGAGAATCGAAAATGCTGGGCATTGAAATGAGTCACTGTGTTGATAAATAGGTCGAGCCAAGCACTTTCTGGAATTAAAACGTGTTTAGCAGGATATATGCGAATGATAATGTAGTTATTACGCTACTTAGTGGGTATCTGAATATTTTGGAAATCTTTAAAAAAGTATTCCTTTCTTTGAACTTATTGTGTAAACAAATATGTACTGCTTTAGAAGTAGAACTAGTTATCTGGTGTGCTATCCCGGTGGTATGAAATAAGGCTGTTGAATAGGTACTGTTGAAGTGAAGCAAAAAGGGACAGCTTGAGAAATTAGGTGTTTAAGTGAGGTACATTCTTGAAAACTTGATCGAATAGCTTAAATTTAGATCGTAAAACTTTTGGAAGAATTACATTGTACGACATGCATTGTACACATCGTATGACATCGCGAAATTTTCTGCTAAAAAAATTTTTTGTTAATTGTCAGCACTGAGGAAAAGTTTGCAAGTGAATTATTTTGGAAGAATGTACATCCACATTTTCACACATTTCTTTTCCTAGATTAAATTCATGAATTTTTACTTGATTTGGTGACAAAACAGGTAGCAACACGATTTCGTGATAGCTGGTCACTATGGCGAGTTTCCTGGATTTTTTGCAGATGAACAAGGACAAGGTTTGTTTATGCAAAGATTTTCATAAAATATGCCCATATGGAATTGCTTTTGCGATATATTCCTAGGATAATTGTATTTATATTTAATGTTAAGGTTTAAGTACTTTTCTCAGAAAAGCGAAAACAAAGACCACCGACGAAATAAGTTTTTGTTATAATAGCGATTAAAGGCATGAGTTGTACTGGAAAATGAACAGCATATCAGTTGAGATGAACGAGTTCCGAGATGTTCATGGATCTCAGAGCTCACTATTTTTTGATAAATTTGCAGACATTCCGGCCGAAAAAAAAATTCCCAGTTGGAACGTTACGATATAATCTGCATAAGCATGCTCAAGCCACGCTACATTCGGGTTTGGATTTGAAAGCGGCTGTTCGATTACCACCTAACGAAAACTTCGAAGACTGGTTGGCTGTTCACAGTAAGTTTATTCCTTCATAATTAGATATCATGGTCGCAGTTAACTTTAATTGATAATGTAAATAAGTTGCAGCAGTGGATTTTTTTAATCGAATAAATCTTCTGTATGGAATAATATCAGATGTTTGTATAGCGAAATCTTGCCCCACAATGAGTGGTGGACCTCGGTAAGTTAATTTCTGATCTTACAAAAAAAAAGTTTGAAGAATAAAGATTGAATATCGACTGTTATATTTACAGATATTAGCGATTAGAATGTGAAAAAGAAGTTGTGTGCCGTAATATTGTAACGGTTTAGAATTTTTGTATCTTATGCAATACTCTTGAAGTTTTGGAATAAAACACTATGAGAGTTGACATTGTGGCGTGTCAGAATGGAAATAGAATTTGGTGGATTCACTTTATATTTTATTTTCTCTCAGTTCTCTCACAATTTGAAATGATTTTTTTTTGCAGATATGAATATCTTTGGCAGGATGGTGTCCGTTATAAAAAACCAACAAGATTACCTGCTCCTGAATACATATTTCTTTTAATGGATTGGATTGAGATACGGATAAATAATGAAGCCATTTTTCCTTCTAATACAGGTACTAGTTGCTATTGACAAGAAGTATCGATTTCGTCGAAAGATTGCAGAATTTGAATGGATATATTCAATTGAGGTTCAGTTAGCATCGTCTTAATTTTGCGTGATGACTATAACTGAAATGATTTGTATTTTGCAGAGATTCCGTTCCCGCGAGACTTTCGGCAAACGTGTAAAAAGATATTGACAAGATTGTTCCGAGTCTTTGTCCATATTTATATACATCATTTCGATCGATTATCGCAACTGGGAGCTGTAAGTTCTCACTGATTGACTAGAAGTAACTTGTAATGTAAACGTTTGGTAATGATTGGATGACAGTAATATTTCTCGAAAAGATCATTTAAGCAATTAAGCAACTCTTTTAGGAACCTCACGCAAACACTTTATACAAACATTTTTACTATTTTATCACTGAACATCAGATGGTTTCATCACGTGAGTTGGATGCTCTGGCAAGTTTTTCATTGTATGCATTATCAGAACGGATTAGAAATGTTCGGGTCATGTCGCATTAATTTTTGGGGTTTCCTATGATTTTTGCACATGCGGGATAAAAAATGTTTTAGAAGGAAATGACAGAGCGGTTAATTGTCGGCTCTAGCAATCAGCGAATTCGGGTTGAATGAAATGCTGCTGAAGTCAGGACGGATCTTCCAAATGTTTGTTGCCTACCTGCCTGCCACTGCCGGTAGTGAACACTTTTATCCTGTCCTACTGTGATATCTTGTGTAAGAAATATTTCATTGAATTATTGCAATGAAACTTATGAAAGATGATAGACGATGAGTTGTTACTTCTTCAGTCCATCTGCATTGTTATATGCACAGTGATAATCTTACTATTTGATTTAAATTCTTGTTCTTTTTTATCAATAATTCACGCATTTGAACAAAATTTTTAGCGCTAAATACATCATATTAGTTTGTTCTTATGCAAAAATCTGTGTATTACAATTGAAATGCTACCGATGGATATGCTGACTATGAAGTGATATTAGTACTTGCATTTAATAAATCAAAAACATCGGAAAGACGGTACAATTCAAAATTCTGTTTTTATCCAACGTTCCATATTGGTGGGCCTTTGTGTTTTGTAAACAGATAGGTGATGTCTACTTCATTATTCTTTTTAAATAAAATTAGATTTGTTAGGTTACGGTGAATTGGACATCCATTTCAGGACCGAGTGGAATAATTTTACTGTGTCGGGTCATTTTTGAGGCATTATTCAGTGTCGTCAAGATTTACAAAAATTTTTTTCTTCAATTTTTGAAACTTGGATGGCGGTGTTTGTTAAGATTTAAAAAATTAAATTTACGTGCTCTTGATTAAAAAAGGCTGTAGTTGATAGAGATGGGAATTAGATTTTCTACAGTTGCGTGATTTCGGCTGCATTCTCACATCTATAAGCAGATTGAAAATGAAGCTGTTTTCCGTGGATATGAAATAAGAAATCCCTGTCACCTCCTTCAGGGCGAATAAGAGACTCAGTAAAACACAAACACATCTCAATTTTCAGACATATGGTTTAAGCATCGCACTTTCATATTTCTCGCCTGGGCTTTCCGATGTTTTTCGGTCATATACCATTGTTAATTTCAGTCTTACTCTATCAGTCTCCAAGCTTATTGCTGGCAGCTAGCTATCTGTGGTCGTTTTTTTAACATTCTTTTTTTCGTCCAAATTTAGATCATGTGAAATGTTGCGTTATCCAATTTAAATTTTAATCATCCTATTGTTGAATGTGTATAATGCAAACATTTGATTTTTGGCAGGTATCGTCTTGTTGGTGTTTGGTTGACTGGAATATTTGTTTAATTTTTTTAATGGGTATCGCTTTTATTGGTTATGGTTTGATTTGGGGACATGTAAGTTGCTGGGCTATTGTGGTTAATACTTGTTTAATAACTTTATCCCTTTGTCTGTTTTGTGTGGTTTCATCCTTATTCTTTCCATCCTTATACCTCTTTTTCTGGATTTCTTCATTCTGGCACTTTCGTCATCCACTTCATGTTATACTTTGTGCGAATGCAATCTGAATTGCATCTTATTTATGTTGTATAATAAAACTTTTTCATATAAATGATTTCAGTTCATGAAAATTAAACAAATTTACAGATAGGTTATCTGAAGACTCATGTATTCATATATAATACTGGGAGGGATTATCACTTGCACATACATTTGCCCACTATTATCCTGTATTGCTATTACCTTTGAGGATTTTGCTCGGATTTCATCTATTCAGTTATTTCAGACAGAATGACAGCATCTGTATACAGAGAACTGTTGCGGAGTATAGTATATGTTTGCTGATATGTATATATCCGCGACAGTTCTTGTGAACAGTCATGATTTCCAAATGAAATAGCTGATTCATCAAGATAGTTTTTTTTCATCTGAAAAAAAGGAAGTTCGCAGGAGTTTTGTTGTTAAAATTTAAACCAATAAAGCGCAACAAATGGCACGTCTTCCTGAATCACTTCGCTGGCTGCTTTTCTGTAGAATTACACAATAGTGTAAGGAAATGGTGACTCCGCCGAGTTTTATTATACTTATATAAGAGTAAAAGATCGATTAGCAATGAAAGTGCCAATGATTGAGCCAACTGGAAAGCTTGATTCTAACCTGAAATTGAATTTTTTGAACTGAGATCACTTGTTGCTTGTAGCCCAGATTGTTCCCTTCACTACTAGATGAATCCTTTCTCCTGACAATCATACCAGCAGAATTTGCATTGACGATGCTCGCCCAGTCAAATAATTATCGTTGAAAAATCTTAACGTCCTGATTCTCCAGCAGTAAATTTTTCTTAAAACCTGATTGGCTCCTTTCCATTGCATGCTGCTCATTCCGTTTAGTTCAGTTCTCTTCCTACTCTCCTGTACTATTATCCCATTATTTTAGCTTTTCCCTGTGATAACCGTCTGTAACCTACCTGATCAATCCGCATCAGCAATAGCGCAACACGAAGTGTTTGTGTCGACAGAAATTCTCTAAAATTTCCTGCAAAAATTGTCTCATTTGTTGCATACAAATTTCGAGAAGAGAACAGAAACATATTGTTCAATGCTTTTACCGTTCATTCATTATCCCAACTGATAATATATCATTGCCTATATCATTACATCAATTGATATGAGAATTCATTCTTGTACTCTTTCCGCTTATCTGTTTATGCTGTTCCACTGATTCTATATTTTGCATTCTTCGCAATCTTGTTCTTTCTGTCCGGAATTGATTCATTTCCAGGATGTGAGCTTTTTTCGGTTACCTGCTTAACAGGTTCCGTTTTTCTCATCTGTCAGTGAGTATGGGATCATTTCAAACACACTTTCAGTTTCTATTCAATATTTATTATATCAGAATTGATTCACCAGATGAATGAATGCTTGAGCGATGTGTGATACGGAGGAGAATATATCTTCTTCACGTAACTGTTCTTATTCAAAGCGGCATCTGTCGCCTGTACACATTATTCCTCACCTCTTTCACTATTTTACTATTAATATTTGATAGTTTGTGATGGGGTAATCAGTGTCTTTTGTGATTTTCTATGCTAACAACTTGTCAATTCGTGTAAAATGTCTTGAATCTCTAACCCATAAACCATAAAACGAAAGCCATTTCTTAAAATCAGCGGAGAAGGAATCGTCCGTCTATCCAACAGCTGCTTTTCCTCCATCAGTTTGTTTTTTCGTATACCAGCTGCTGTAGAAATGCATCATGCCTCCCTCCTCTTGCTGCAATACAAATGTTATGCACTCATATTTTCTAATAATTATATTCCTTTTTGGTCCGTTTATTAATTGACTAAAATTATTTACATAGGTCACGTCACCACGAGACTGTCATCCAACTCAAGTCGGCAATGCAACACAGTGGAGACAACTACTGCTGCTCTTATGATGAAGTTCTGTGAGGATGAGAATAAAAGATTCACTGGAAAAGTTATTTGTTTGGTTCCTTGGTAATCATTCATCCTCTGCGTACTTCCTTTTTTACCTTTCTAACAAATTATATTATTTTCACTTTCATGTTACTTTTTCCATTCTCCCTCACTTCGTATGATCGGTGATGAATAATGACTTGTCACTGTTTGTTATACCTTCCTTCAGCAACTGTGTTGCATTAAAATTTCTTTTCAATTGAATCCTTTCATCCTAAAGTATTTCAGAACTGTCATCGTTTGCTCATACAATATGTTTTGTTATTTCCCGTTTGAACAGTTGATCATCTCAGCATTGTGTTACAGTTATAATGGGATTGAATTACTTGATAAGGTTCTCGCACTGCTTACTGAGAGTGTAAAAATTTTCTGCTCCCATAGAACTTTGCGAATCGTCAGTATGAAGTATGAAGCAATCAAAAGATGATATGTGTCGAAGCGAAGAATTACTGGTGCCAAAGTGCATTCGATGAATTAATTATCTACCATTTTCATCCTTCTAATAGAGCTAAATGTTGTTCGCAAAATGAATGCGGTCAGTGACACCACCGCCACCACACGACGAGTGTTCTAGTTTGGAGAAGAGTGGTGAGCATACGTAGTTGTGGGATAGCTGACGGATTTAATACTTATTAGCGGTGTTTTATTTGCAGCGTATGCTGAAATAAAACTTGACACTTTATATCTATTATCTTTTATTTGTTTCAGATGTTTGAATTTCCGTTTAAAAGCGATTTTGATTTCGGTGCGGAACTTGGATCCTCTGCACAGCATCCTTTTTCTCTTCGCAGTCGTTTACGCGAAGTTCGAGATGCATTTCGAGGATTCCGGGTAGTTTATGAAGTGTTTTGTTTCGTGGCTGGCTTCATAGTTTGCAACCTTTTCAATACAATTTCAATTCGAGCCAAGTCATTTTCTAATACTGAGCTATTTTATGGGTTTCTTTGGCTCATATACAAGGGGAATGCAGCAGAATAATGAACGTAGTTGAAGAATTAATGTGCAGTATCACCAACAGTTTTGTCATGTTTTGATCAAAATAACCGTTCTTACCGTAAATGAAATATCCATCGCATTGGTTAGTTTACTAACGGCACAACTGTCGGATAGATTAATACAAATGGTCTTTGCTGATTGCTTGCTTGCTTAAAGGAAACGTATTTCGAAGCATTCCTATCATCTGATGAAAGTGTTTTGATGACTGAAATAATTCTTTCATTTGCACTTTATATGCTTTTTCGTACACCATCGACTTCGAGATCCACTAGACACTTTTTTGTTGCATTATCTTTCCTTCACAAATTTTATCGCACTAGGACAGACAATATACTCATTAAGAAATTGTAGTTTAGTAATAATGATAATAAATAACAGTGATATATTGGTAATAATGATAATAACGGTAATAATGATAATGGTAGTGATGATAATAATGGTAA